TGTTTCTTTTCTTAAATTTAAAAATTTGAAAGAGAAAAAAAAAAAATCTTTCAAAGTGATTTAAAATCAAGTTTTAAAAAAATTTATAAATCTTAATTTTTTTTTATTTTAATTTTAAAATTATTTCTCAATTTTATTCATCTATTTTTTATTAAAATATTTTTTTATTTTTATTAATTTTTAAAAATAAATAAAAATAAAATTTATTTTTAAATCCTTAATTTAAAAACAAAATAAAAATATATCTATTATTTTAAAAATAGAGGAAATATTATAAAAAAAAGTCAATAATTTTTTTTCAATGTAATAAATATTAGAAAATTGTTGGTCCAAAACCGCCCACCAAGAAAGGAAACATTAAATTTGATGACGTTTGTAAAAGAAACATCGATCGGATATTCATTCACTGGTTGATTAAATTGGTCCAGCTTTTCACGCTAACTTGCTTTTACATAAATTCTTGATCGTGATTAAGCAAATTTGGATTTTTATTCTATATTTGGTATAACTTGCCAATGGCTGCATCTTGCTTATTCATTTTGTCTTTAATTTCATTAAATATGATGTTTAACCTTTGAAATTGTTGTTACATAACTTTGAGCATGAAGGAATCATCCACTTGGTGTTTTTTATCATCATCGCTTGACATAATTGAAAATCGATTAAGAACGAAAATAATAGGTCAGGTTAGAACGCCACAAAAATAATCTTGATAAGTTTTGTAAAGTTTTGAAACGAACCAAAAAGAAAAGTTTTTCGAAATCTCAGATTCAATTGCCTCCTCCCCATTAGGGTTACAAGCATTTTAAATAGAGAAAACAAATCCTAATTAGAATAGGAAATTAACACCTTAAGTATTAAACCTAATAACCACGAATTAGGTTTCAAATAAACGAATGTTCAGCCCAAAAATAATATAAAAAACGTGAAAATCACTAAAAATAACCAATCGTTCGAGGGTGTGGTGTCAACCAACTTTATACCTTTGGTTCTTGTTGTGTCATAGACAACGGGTCAAGATTTTTACCTTTGGTTCTTATTGCAACATAAACAACGGGTCAAAGTGCTATTATAAACCTGATTTAGCTTTCCTGGAGTTTAAAAATTCCTTGTCGTGTTGTGGGTCTCATTGTTCTTTTTAGGGTTCTCATCAATTCTATTTTGTATATATAAATTAAAAAAAAGTAAAAAAAAAAATTAAATTTACCTTTTTTAAGTGATTTAAAAAACCTCCACCAAACAGCCCTTAAGTACCAAAAAATACATGTGGAGTATTTTGCAATTATTTATCATAGTGGAAAAATAAAAAACGAGGAAGAGAAAGAGTCGCTGATGGTCATCCAAGAGATGGCATCATGGAAGTCGGCATGGACGAAATGATGCACATAGGAATTAACTCAGAA